CTCGTGGAGACAATCTTTTATCACTCAAATAAAAGGCAGTGATTGTAACGGTACTACGCGGTAGAACGGTATTACGCTTTGAATGACCATTGTAATATATTTTTATTGAACATTGTTATTGTTTCTATTGAATAATTTTGCGAAAAAACGCAATAATTAAACGTTAATACAATGTTAACCAGCTGGGTAGTATAGGGTCTATCACCTTGTGATTTACATGAGCTCTAATAATTTCTAGTCACTCCACAACAGATGTAGTATAGTGGATCAACATGATAATTTGACATTTATTAGAACATTGTAAGTAGCGATTTAACAAGTTAAATTCGACATAATAAGATAATTACCTTTTCTGATCACTTAGCTTTGAAACATTGTTCAATGATAAGGTGAAAAGGTGACTTATGATATAGCTTTTGCTAGAACTTGTAACAGAATTTTTCACCATTGAATAATAACCAACTAAAAATTTGTCGTAGCAAAGCCACCTTTTTAGTAAGTGTATACGTAACAAGACAAAATTAGTCGTAGTCCCGTAGTCATGGGCAACCCATGAAAACGAAATGTAGAAAGCGTGAAAACTTAATTTGTGAACAGGTTGTCACAGTCTGTCACACTCAAATTGAAGAGTGGAATGCTACAAAACCTTTGCTCTTAGCATTCAAGAGTAGACAAGCCTTCTCTAGTTTACGTTAAGTCACTAATGAAGAAAAAGCTGAAGCTAACTGCACAAAACCACTTCGCATTAGCTACATACGGGTTCATTGCTGTTTTTGTTCGAAGTGCAATTGACGGTAACCTTATATATAGCAGGAAGGCTGTCAACTCACCATCAACAATGTCTTTCAGCTACATTTCCTGTATTCTTCTATTCTCCCTACAAAGGTATACGTCATCATAGCTAACCTAAAATGCCTATAAAAATTCAGATTTCACTTCTAATTGTATAAAAATTGTCTAATTTGCCCATATGTAATGTATGGAGTTCAGGTCGTACTGCAGTGGACCAGAAGTTGTAGAAGAGCCTTATCACACTCATGTCGTTCCTGCTGTGCCAGTAGAGCCTGCACCAGCACCTTATGTGGAGCCAGCACCTGTACCAGTGATACCCACAAAAGTTGTGGAGCCAGTACCAGTACCAGTAGTGCCAGCAAAAGTTGTGGTTCCCGCGCCTA